ACACGTCCTTGTCCCAGGGAGCCCTGAGGACACAGGGGACCCCAGGGGATGTGTCCCCATCCTGGTGGACCCTTAGTGACATGTCCCCATCCTTGGGGACATGAGCGTGGCCACCTGGGTGGCCGTGGAGATGGGCACCAAACTGGGCAACGAGGTGACACGGGGACACGGGGGGGACACGGGGACACGGGGGGGGACATGGGGACACGGGGGTGAAGGACACATGGACACGGAGTAGGACGTGGGGACATGGAGGGGGACATGGGGGCATGGAGCCCCAGGGACGCAAGGGGTGTGGGACACCATGAGGGGTGGCCCTGGTGACCTGAAGGTGGCACAGGGGACCTTGGGGACAGTAGGGGACCCTGGGGACATGTCCTTGTCCCAGGGAGCCCTGAGGACACAGGGGACCCCAGGGGATGTGTCCCCATCCTGGTGGACCCCAAGGAAGGTGTCCCCATCTTAGTGACCTTAGGGACATGTCCTTGTCCCAGGGAACCCCAAGGACACAGGGGACCCCAGGGGACATGTCCCCACCCTGGTGGACCTCAAGGAAGATGTCCCCACCTTAGGGACCTTAGGGACACGTCCTTGTCCCAGGGAACCCTGAGGAGCACAGGGGACCCCAGGGGACGTGTCCCCCCCTGGGTGACCCCAAGGAAGATGTCCCCATCTTGGGGACACGTCCTTGTCCCAAGGACGCTTGAGGAGCACATGGGACCCCAGGGGATGTGTCCCCATCCTGGTGGACCCCAAGGAAGGTGTCCCCACCCTGGGTGACCCCAAGGAAGATGTCCTCACTTTGGGGACACGTCCTTGTCCCAGGGACCCCTGAGGAGCACAGGGGACCCCAGGGAACATGTCACCGCTCAGGATGACCCCAAGGAAGATGTCCCCATATTGGGGACATGTCCTTGTCCCAGGGACCCCTGAGGAGCAGAGGGGACCCCAGGGGACATGTCCCCATCCTGGGTGACCCCAAGAAAGATGTCCCCATCCTTGGGGACCTTGGGGACATTTCCTTGTCCCAGGGACCCCTGAGGAACATGGGGGACCCTAACGACGTGTCCCCACCCCAGAGGACGTGTCCCCACCCTGGGGACCCTGGGGACACATCCCCATCCCAGGCCACCCCAGGCCAAGCCAGGGGACTCCAGGGGACAATTCACGAGGGTTGTGGGACACCCTGAGGGGTGGCCCTGGTGACCTGAGGGTGGCACAGGGGACCTTGGGGACAGTAGGAGACCTTGGGGACATGTCCTCGTCCCAGGGAGCCCTGAGGACACAGGGGACCCCAAGGGACGTGTCCCCATCCTGGTGGACCCCAAGGAAGGGGTCCCCATCTTAGTGACCTTAGGGACATGTCCTTGTCCCAGGGAGCCCCAAGGACACAGGGGGCCCCAGGGGATGTGTCCCCATCATGGTGGACCCCAAGGAAGATGTCCCCACCTTGGGGACATGTCCTTGTCCCAGAGACTCTTGAGGAGCACAGGGGACCCCAGGGGACGTGTCCCCATCCTAGGGGACCTCAAGGAAGGTGTCCCCATCTTAGGGACCCTGAGGACACATCCTTGTCCCAGGGAACCCCAAGGACACAGGGGACCTCAGGGGACATGTGCCCACCCTGTGTGACCCCAAGGAAGATGTCCCCACCTTGGGGACCTTGGGGACATGTCCTTGTCCCAGGGAACCCTAAGGACACAGGGAACCCCAAGGAAGATGTCCCCATCTTGGGGACATGTCCTTGTCCCAGAGACCCTTGAGGAGCACAGGGGACCCCAGGGGATGTGTCCCCATCCTGGTGGACCCCAAGGAAGATGTCCCCATCCTTGGGGACCTTGGGGATACGTCCTTGTCCCAGGGACCCCAGAGGACACAGAGGACCCCAGGGGACATGTTCCCATCCTGGGTGACCCCAAGGAAGATGTCCCCATCTTGGGGACATGTCCTTGTCCCAAGGATCCCTGAGGAGCACATGGGACCCCAGGGGACGTGTCCCCGTCCTGGGGGACCCCAAGGAAGATGTCCCCACCTTGGGGACACGTCCTTGTCCCAGGGAACCCTAAGGACACAGGGGACCCCAGGGGACATGTCCCCATCCTAGGGGACCTCAAAGAAGGTGTCCCCACCTTATGGACCTTGGGGACACGTCCTTGTCCCAGGGAACCCCAAGGACACAGGGGACCCCAAGGAAGATGTCCCCATCTTGGGGGCACGTCCTTGTCCCAGGGAACCCTGAGGAGCACATGGGACCCCAGGGGACGTGTCCCCATCCTAGGGGACCTCAAGGAAGATGTCCCCACCTTGGGGACCTTGGGGACATGTCCTTGTCCCAGAGACCCCTGGTGTCCCCATCTTAGGGACCCTGAGGACACATCCTTGTCCCAGGGAACCCCAAGGAAGATGTCCCCATCCTTGGGGACCTTGGGGACATTTCCTTGTCCCAGGGACCCCTGAGGAACATGGGGGACCCTAACGACGTGTCCCCACCCCAGAGGACGTGTCCCCACCCTGGGGACCCTGGGGACACATCCCCATCCCAGGCCACCCCAGGCCAAGCCAGGGGACTCCAGGGGACAATTGGGGACCACCGAGGTGGGGATGGGCTCTGAGGGTGGGGGAGAGGGGGGGTGCTGAGGGACCTGGGGAGGGGGACAGCAGTGCCACCGGGGCGGGGGGTGACATGTCCCTTGTCCCCAGGTCGGGTACAGCATCCGCTTCGAGGACTGCACGTCGGAGAGGACGGTGCTCAAGTACATGACGGACTGGGGACATGTCCTTGTCCCAAGGATCCCTGAGGAGCACATGGGACCCCAGGGGACGTGTCCCCGTCCTGGGGGACCCCAAGGAAGATGTCCCCACCTTGGGGACACGTCCTTGTCCCAGGGAACCCTAAGGACACAGGGGACCCCAGGGGACATGTCCCCATCCTAGGGGACCTCAAAGAAGGTGTCCCCACCTTATGGACCTTGGGGACACGTCCTTGTCCCAGGGAACCCCAAGGACACAGGGGACCCCAAGGAAGATGTCCCCATCTTGGGGGCACGTCCTTGTCCCAGGGAACCCTGAGGAGCACATGGGACCCCAGGGGACGTGTCCCCATCCTAGGGGACCTCAAGGAAGATGTCCCCACCTTGGGGACCTTGGGGACATGTCCTTGTCCCAGAGACCCCTGAGGAACATGGGGGACCCTAACAACGTGTCCCCACCCCAGGGGACCACCGAGGTGGGGAAGGACTCTGAGGGTGGGGAGGAGGGGGGGGTGTTGAGGGACCTGGGGAGGGGGACAGCAGTGCCACCGAGGCGGGGGGTGACATGTCCCTTGTCCCCAGGTCGGGTACAGCATCCGCTTCGAGGACTGCACGTCGGAGAGGACGGTGCTCAAGTACATGACGGACGGGATGTTGCTGCGGGAGTTCCTGACGGAGCCCGACCTCGGCTCCTACAGGTGGCCTTGGGGACACCGGGGACACCCCGGGGACATGGGGGACACCCCGGGGACATGGGGGACACTGGGGGTGGTGGGGATACCAGGGACATTGGGGACATCAGGGGCATTGGGGACATTGGGGACATGGAGGTGTCAGGGGAGCGTGGAGGGATTGGGGATGTTGGGGACAGCGTAGGCTGGGGGACCTTGGGGACACCTTGGGGACATCAGGGATATTGGGGACACTGGAGGTGGTGGGGACACCAGGGACATTGGGGACATCGGGGACACTGGGGGCACTGGGGACATGGGGGACATTGGGGACATCAGGGGCATTGGGGACGGTGGGGACATGGAGGCGTTGGGGGAGAGCGGAGGGATTGGGGATGTAGCATAAACTGGGGGACCTTGGGGACATTGGGGACACCTTGGGGACATTGGGGACATCAGGGACACTGGGGGTGGTGGGGACACCAGGGACATTGGGGACATCAGGGGCATTGGGGACGTTGGGGACATAGGGGTGTCAGGGGAGAGTGGAGGGATTGGGGATGTTGGGGACAGCGTAGGCTGGGGGACCTTGGGGACACGTTGGGGACATCAGGGATATTGGGGACACTGGAGGTGGTGGGGACACCAGGGACATTGGGGACATTGGGGACATCAGGGATACTGGGGGTGGTGGGGACACCAGGGACATGTTGGGGACATTGGGGACATCAGGGGCATTGGAGATGTTGGGGACAGTGTGGGTTGGGGGACCTTGGGGACATTGGGGACACGTTGGGGACACTGGGGACACCTTGGGGACATCAGGGACACCGGGGGTGCTGGGGACATCAGGGACATTGGGGACATGTTGGGGACATTGGGGACATGGGGGTGTTGGGGGAGAGCGGAGGGGTTGGGGATGTGGAGGACAGCATAGGTTGGGGGACCCTGGGGACATGTTGGGGACCTTGGGGACATCAGGGACACTGGGGGTGGTGGGGACACCAGGGACATTGGGGACATTTAGGACATCAGGGGCATTGGGGGTCCCTAGGACATGGAGGTGTCAGGGGAGAGTGGAGGGATTGGGGATGTGGAGGACAGCATAGGTTGGGGGACCTTGGGGACACGTTGGGGACATCAGGGACACTGGGGGTGGTGGGGACATCGAGATGCTGGAGGAGAGCGGAGGGATTGGGGACATGGACAGCATAGGCTGGGGGACCTTGGGGACACGTTGGGGACCTTGGGGACATCAGGGACCTTGGGGACATCAGGGACATCAGGGACACAGGGCTGGGGACAATAAGGAGTGGGGAGGGGTTAAGGGACAGTGGGGACACAGGGGGGACACAGCGGGGGGGCTGCGTGTCCCCAGCACCATCCCTGTCCTTGGTCTGACTGGTGGCACTTTGGTGTCCCTGTTGTCCCCATGTCCCTATGCCCATCCCTGTGTCCCCACACGTGTCCCTGTGTCCCCATACCTGTCCCCATGCCTGTCCCCATGTACATGGAGGTGTCAGGGGAGAGTGGAGGGATTGGGGATGTGGAGGACAGCATAGGTTGGGGGACCTTGGGGACACGTTGGGGACATCAGGGACACTGGGGGTGGTGGGGACATCGAGATGCTGGAGGAGAGCGGAGGGATTGGGGACATGGACAGCATAGGCTGGGGGACCTTGGGGACACGTTGGGGACCTTGGGGACATCAGGGACCTTGGGGACATCAGGGACATCAGGGACACAGGGCTGGGGACAATAAGGAGTGGGGAGGGGTTAAGGGACAGTGGGGACACAGGGGGGACACAGCGGGGGGGCTGCGTGTCCCCAGCACCATCCCTGTCCTTGGTCTGACTGGTGGCACTTTGGTGTCCCCGTTGTCCCCATGTCCCTATGCCCATCCCTGTGTCCCCACACGTGTCCCTGTGTCCCCATACCTGTCCCCATGCCTGTCCCCATGCCTGTCCCCATGTCCCCACGTGTCCCTGTGCCTGTCCCCATGTCCCTATGCCCATCCTCCTGTCCCCCACCTCTCCCCATGTCCCCATACCTCTCCCCATGTCCCCATACCTGTCCCCTATGTCTGTCCCCATGTCCCCACGCCTGTCCCCTATGCCTGTCCCCATGTCCCTATGCCCATCCTCCTGTCCCCCACCTCTCCCCATGTCCCCACACATGTCCCCTGTGTCTGTCCCCATGTCCCCCTGCCTGTCCCCATGTCCCTATGCCCATCCTCCTGTCCCCCACCTCTCCCCATGTCCCCATACCTCTCCCCATGTCCCCATACCTCTCCCCATGTCCCCATACCTCTCCCCATGTCCCCATACCTCTCCCCATGTCCCCATACCTCTCCCCATGTCCCCATACCTCTCCCCATGTCCCCATACCTCTCCCCATGTCCCCATACCTCTCCCCATGTCCCCATACCTCTCCCCATGTCCCCATACCTCTCCCCATGTCCCCATACCTCTCCCCATGTCCCCATACCTCTCCCCATGTCCCCATACCTCTCCCCATGTCCCCATACCTCTCCCCATGTCCCCATACCTCTCCCCATGTCCCCATACCTCTCCCCATGTCCCCATACCTCTCCCCATGTCCCCATACCTCTCCCCATGTCCCCATACCTCTCCCCATGTCCCCATACCTCTCCCCATGTCCCCATACCTCTCCCCATGTCCCCATACCTCTCCCCATGTCCCCATACCTCTCCCCATGTCCCCATACCTCTCCCCATGTCCCCATACCTCTCCCCATGTCCCCATACCTCTCCCCATGTCCCCATACCTCTCCCCATGTCCCCATACCTCTCCCCATGTCCCCATACCTCTCCCCATGTCCCCATACCTCTCCCCATGTCCCCATACCTCTCCCCATGTCCCCATACCTCTCCCCATGTCCCCATACCTCTCCCCATGTCCCCATACCTCTCCCCATGTCCCCATACCTGTCCCCATGCCTGTCCCCATGTCCCCATGCCCATCCTCCTGCCCCCCACCTCTCCCCATGTCCCCACACGTTTCCCCTATGCCTCTCCCCATGTCCCCCTGCCTCTCCCCATGTCCCCATACCTGTCCCCATGTCCCCACATGTGTCCCCTATACCTGTCCCCATGTCCCCACGCCTGTCCTCCCACCTCTCCCTGTGTCCCTGCGTGTCCCCCTGCCTGTCCCCATTTCCCTGTGCTTGTCCCCATACCCGTCCCCATGTCCCCATACCTGTCCCCATGTCCCTGTGCTTGTCCCCATACCTGTCCCCATGTCCCTATGCCCATCCCCGTGTCCCCCCTCTTTTCCCCATGTCCCCACGCCTGTTCTCCCACCTCTCCCTGTGTCCCCACGTGTCCCCATACCTGTCCCCATGTCCCCACACGTGTTCCTGTGTCCCCATACCTGTCCTCTATGTCTGTCCCCATGTCCCCGTGCCTGTCCCCATGTCCCTGTGCATGTCCCTGTGTCCCCACACGTGTCCCCTATGCCTGTCCCCATGTCCCCACACATGTCCCCACGCCTGTCCTTCCACCTCTCCCTGTGTCCCCACATGTCCCCATGCCTGTCCCCACACCTCCATACCTCTCCCTGTGTCCCCACATGTCCCCATGCCTGTC